TGGGCCTGTTAGTGGCACCGCACTCCGCCGCTCTGTTATCTCGAACCATTCCCGCCAGATACTCCCACGTTACATCATACTTGCGAAAAGAACGAGCGATACAGGCACACACGACGAACATGTATGTTGACTCTGCGAGGATCGCCTACCGTGCCATTCGCGATCCCGAAATGGATGTGCTGGTGACTGGATGTGGTTGTGTCTCGTTCCCGCCAAAAAAAGGTGATGGCAGCGTACTCGTTTGTGGGTACGAATCACCACTCATCAGCGAAAGTATCTTACCACACTGAGTTGTTATTTGAAAATACCTACGCTTGGAGTGTGGTGAACTACAAAGAGGTCCAATAAGTGGTCTCTTTCTCTTAGATGTGATTGTCATTTCTCGCAGATCTATCCATAGGCAATCCTCATGCATGTTTGTTCATTTTCAATAATTCAAAAAATGACACGCACTGTGGCTGTTCTTTTGCCTCACCAGCAAAATCATGCCCTCCATCAACGCCTCCATGCAGGCCCCCAGAAGTCAGACTTTTTTGTCTGATTTGCTTGTTTTAGTCTGAGATTTCAGACTTTTTTTAGGGTGTACTCTGTAAAATTCAGAGTTTTTATTGTCTCAAGTATGTGAAAATCAGATTTTTCTCTAGGCTGACTCTGACGTTTCAGAGTTTTATGGGAGTGTACTCTGATGAATTCAGAGTACAAACGAGTTCCGACTCTGAATGAATCTACCTGCGCGCTGACACCCAGGATTAGCTGTGGTACATACATTGTACCTGTACCGCCGCCCTGCGGCCCGGTGTTTCCCTCGTACAGCTGGATGTAGTGGTCGAGACAGAAGAGGAGCGCGTTCTTTCTTTCCCTCGGTGTAAGATGCTGCAGCAGTTGCCATGCCACCCACGTAAACGTGATGGCAAGCAGACGCTCCTTTAGGCAGCATCGTGTACCACGATGCTGCAACATCCACACCACACACTGCAACGATGCGCCTCGTCGTTGCCGTGCATTGTAGGCAACCACCCACACAACTCAATGATGGCCCATCTTGGTAAAGGGCCTTCGTGTTTGTGCTAGGGTTTCATCCACACCCCTCAGCTACATCTCACGGGCCCAAGCCAGTGCCCAGTTTTGCCTCAGCCATCATCTCTCTAGTTAGTTCCTGCTCGGCAGGCTCTTTCACAGCCCCGCCATGGCGGTGCTGGACAATCCCGCCACAAGCGACGACGACCCTGATGAGCGGCCTGCCTTAACAGGCTTGGACTTCTTGCTTAGTACACTAGATCTCGATAAAGCTGCACGCGTCATGCCCGATACGATTCCCATACAGAAAGCACCCGCGGCTCCAGTTTTCTCACTTTCTGCCGACCATGTGGCAGAGACATCAGCGAAACCAACCGTTGATTCACAGTCGCAGATTCCGACGCAGACCACGGCGCGCACGACCCGTCTCAAGCAGGCGACCTTGACCTTCGGCAAACCTGCGTCGTCAACTGCCAACGTCAAGAACGCTCCCGGAACATCTGATCGACCGCGACCTCGCCTCAATATCAATCTGGCCGAGCTCATCGAGGGAGTTTACGACGAAGCGATTGACAAGTTCAAAAATCATTGGTCTACCCGTTTTAAGTGGCTCACAATCACTAAAACCACTACCGGCTTGCCTGCGTTCAAGTGTACCGTTTGTGCAGCCTTTGCTGGGGATGCAGGAACTTGCGGGAGGCGCGGGAGAGGCGCCACCGACCTGCAGACACAGTCTTTCCGTAAACACGCTGGCACGGCGAAGCACAAGCTGGCGGTTGAGAGACAGAAATATGAAGAGGAGTGCGGTGGACGGCAGCCACAGATCGACCAACATTGCGCCGCGGTGGACAGTGAGAAGATGCGGACCGTCGCCCTTCTGGACTCGCTGCTGTTCATCAGCAGGTCCGACGCGCCCATGGGGATGTGTGTGAAACTGGTGCGGTACTTGTCGGAGAAGGGCGTGCAAGGCTTCCCTAAGAGAGGGTACGGCACCTACTACACCACGTGAGTGCAACTGCCGTACGCCTCTTTATAAGTACCCACGTTTTAATAATGTTCTAACTAAATTGTTACTGACTATTGGTTCCATGTGCAGATACGGCTTCGGTGAGCTGACACAAGCTACAGCCACATGGCTCCAGACAACCCAGCTGCAACATGTGCTATCGTCGCCCTTCGTCGGCATCTCGATTGACGAGAGCACGGATAGGTGCCGCGGGAAGCACTTGATCCTGTTCATCACCTTCGTCCGTGACTTCAAGGCCGTCATGGAGTTCATGGCGCTTCTCACCGTGGAGAAGGCCGACGCCGCTTCTCTTCTGGGCGTTCTGCTATCACACCTGCAGGCAGTCGGGGTCGACCTGCAGCGCATTGCAGGCATCAGCACCGACGGCGCGAACGTCATGATGGGCTGCAAGGACGGCCTCACGACACGCCTCCGCATGCGCATTCCCCATTTGGTGTCATCCCACTGCATCGCTCACAGGTAAACCTGTAGGTGCATAGGGTTTTTTGAAGTTCTTTAACGACTACATGTGACTAATGTTTCCCTTTTTTGTTTTTACAGGGAGGCACTGGGGGCTAAAACAGCCGCAGAGAAGATTCCCGCCTTCAACGTCATTGACACGGTGATCCGCACCGTGGCTGAGCATCTCGGTCGAAGTGGGCCATGGCATCAGCGGTTCATGGGGCTGCAGGAAGTATTCACCTCCACCTCACTGGAGCTGCAAGGGATCCATGCAGTCCGTTGGCTTTCGCGGGGCGACGCAGTGCTCAGACTCGTCGCCGTCCTTCCGGCTCTCATCGTGATGTTGAAGGAGTGGGACGCGACGCTCTATGCGCTGGTGACGAGCTACAGGTTTCATTTCCTCCTGTTTTTCATTGCAGATGTGCTTGAGCAGCTGAACATACTCAACAGGGCATTCCAGCACAAGGAGGTAAGCTCTGGTTTATTGTTACTAGTTAAGTCTTTGTGCTAATGCCAGCTTCGTTTCTTCTAACCTTAGTCACTAACCACATGTCCACGTGTTTTTTTCCAGCTTGATTATGCCAGCGTGCATGCGCAGATCAAGCGTACAACATCCCACATCGAGAGCCGCTACGTCGACTGCGGAGACGACTTCGGAGGCGGCGTCAGCGAGCTGCTGTCCCCCTTCATCGCGCGCCATGGGCCTGGAGAAAACCGGGAGGTGAAGGTTGAAGGGATTGATTCGGACGGCCGACCAGCACGCTTCAAATTCGTGCTGCACGAGGACGAGCTGGAGGAGTTTGAAGGGCCCGGCACCCACGATGGCTGTATGGAGGTTTGCACAGAGTTTGCCGAGGTGATCGTGCACCAACTGGAGCACCGGCTTGGCGACCTGAACGGGATGTCCGGCGCTAGGCTCTTCACCCCCGACGAGTACCCGTTAGAGCGTGGAGAGAGGAACCGCAGGTGCCTCGAGTGGCTTCGGTCGCTTGTCACGCTGTTCAAGGCCGACCTGTCGGATGAGATCCTGCCAGGTAAGCCATTACGCAGCTTGGTTTTAATATCAGGCTACCCCGATGCATCGTTTGTATTGCATGTCGCTTCAACTAATGTTTGAATTTGGGTTCTGAGCTTGCTCCTCCCGTTTTACTTCCTACCCCGTCAGGAATTGACAAGCGCCGCGCAGAGAAGGAGCTGCGCATGTTCACTTCGGTGCTTGCAGCATCTACCAAGGGCGAGCGCAATTTTCACGCGGGTCTCACTGCCATGCTCAAGACTCCCGACTGGCGGGAGAACTACCCCAACTTGGTGCTCCTGTGGGTGGCGGTTGCTGTACTGCCGCTGAGCCCCGTGGAGTGCGAGCGGGGGTTCTCCCGCCATAACATCATTAAGTCGTGGAAGAGGGGCGCGCTCAAGGATTCTTGCCTGGGGGACCTTATGTGCATGAGCTTGATGGATTACGCCCCCGACTGGGATGAGATTGTGACAGTCTGGAGGAGTTACAAGAAGCGCAAACCCCAGAGCAACGCTCCACTCCCGCCCGCAGGAAAGCAACACAACAAGGGCAAGGAGGCAAATGAAGAGATGGATGTAGTAGTTGACCTAGAAGATGAGCAGGATGCAGTTGACTCCGATGATGATGATGGATTTAATGAGTAGGAGTCTAGGAGAGGAGGATTAGTAGGATGTTGTAGTGCTAGGATACATGAATAGGGTAGTTCTAGCTGGGAGCTAATCAAAGAAAAGTAGCATTTTGTTTGTAGGCTTTTGCAATGTACGTTACGTAGTTCAAACAAGACAAACAGTTCAGCAAGATAGCTAGAAAGACAATCAGACTTGATAGGCGGGTGATTCTGAATCTTTGAGACTTTTATTTTAGGGAACTCTGAACTATCAGCCTTTTTTTTTTTGCAACTCTGTCAGATTCAGACTACAACTTTGGGAGAGTCTGACGAATCAGACAGGCTAAAAACGAATCTGAGGGCCTGCCTCCATGTCTTTGCCACTCATCTCCCATGTACCACATCCACCTCTCTCCTTGAAACTAGAAGTGCACTTGCATTTCAACCGTCTTTTGTCTCCATGACAACAGCCAGGCAGCAATGCATTGCAATCTCCACCCCTTGTTTAGTTGCAATCTCTTGCGTGTGCAGTCACTCTCACTTGCTCTCTCAATTAGTTACTGTCTCTACATCTCAGATGGCACAGCAGCAAAGCTCTTCTCCAACGTACCGGCCTGTCTTGTTTTTTTTTTTTTTTTTTGTGCTCGAAAACATGTTTTAGGTGCTCCTCTGCTGCATGTAACAGAACACTCACAAGCAGATGATAACCAAGACGAGTTACACAAAATCACCCACGCTGAGACAACCAAAAGCACTACTTCCCGATCCCATCTTCCATCTAAAATCACAACCTCTTGTGCGACCATTGCAATTTGCCACCAACTTCATCTCGTTCTTCCAGTCCTCCCCATATTCCCTTCCCCTCATCCTCCTCACCAGCCCCTCCCACCGTGTTATTCCTCGTCGTCGTCATCACCCGCCCTCCAGCCATCATCTTCGCTGCCCAATCCATACTCATGGTTGATCCCCCAGTCCTCACCACCACTCTCTGCACCCTCCTCCTCCCCATCTGCCTCTTCCCCTTCACCTGCCACATCTCCCCCCTCCTCATCCTCTGCCTCCTCCCCTCCTTCCTCCTCCTCTTCATCAACCGCCACTTCCTCTCCCTCCTCCTCGGCCTCCTTGTTCTCTCTTCCACGAAGGCCCCTCCTGTCTCGCCATGGGAGCGAAGGACACTCACTGATATCAAACTCACGCAACGTTGGCATTCTCCGGATAGAAGATGGCACCCGAACCAGCTTGTTGCACGCAGTAACTAGCAGCACCTGTAGCTTAGGCAGCTTAGCAAATGACTCAGGCAAGCTGCGGACCTGCTTCAGCCCGAGCAGCACCAACTCTTGGAGGGAAGACAGCTCCCAGAAATTTCCTGGAAATTTTGAGATCCCAAGCTTGATGAGCGTACAGAACTGTAGCTTGGACAGATTTGCGAAAGATCGTGGAAGTTTCATCAGCGTGTAGCAGTCAATAATCTCCAGAGTCTCAAGCATTTTCAGCTGCCCAAAAGACTCGAGCAGCTGCCGTATTGTATCGAGGCAAACCAGCTGCAAGACACGCAGCCCTGCCAGCCCCCCAAAGGTCTCAGGCAACACCTCCAACCTTACAGCTGAATATATCCGTAGCCTTTTCAGGCGCGAAAGTTGACAGATGGCTTCGGGGAGTGATGTAAGGTAGTACATATCTAGGAGCTTCAGCTTCGTGAGAGAGGAGAGCTGGCCAAGGGACGGACCAAGGGTCTGGTAAGGAAGGGACTTCAACTTGAGACTCTTGAGGGATGGAAATAGTACCCTGCTGGTGCTGCTGCTGGCGATGCTCCTGCCGGAGCTGCTGGCGGTGCTGTTGGAGCGTGCAGAAGAACCCCTGGCAGTACGTTTCAGCACGACCTCATCCCCTAGCAGCGCGCCAACCCCATCACACACCCGCACCTCCAACAGCCGCACTCAGGGCAGCTCAGCAAGCGACGCAGGGAGACACTTCAGGCCGTCCATCCTTGCGATCTTGACCACCTCGAGCGCCTCCAGCCGTCCGATTTCCCCGGGAAGGACCGTTACCTTAGGGCATCCTATCACTTCAAGTCTGGTGAGTGAAAAGACGCCAGAGAAGGAAGCATGAAGGGCGGATAGTTCTGGAATGTCATGTGTCAAAATGTCATTGTTCTCTAGCCTGTAGTGGGGTACTCTATAGCGAGTACAACCCCTTAGGGTTTCCTATATGTATCCTGCTGCTTTCTAGTGAAGCCCTCTTCTTTCTTCTAAACTTTCTCATGCTATCAGAGCAGGTCGATCCCCTTGGATCGATCCTGTGGGTGGGCTCACCACCTCGTTGCTTCCGCTGCAACTGCTACTGCTACTCTCTGTGCCGCACGCCCCGTGGCGTGCGGCAGTTTTTTCTTCCCGCCGTGCGCCCCGAGGTGTGCGGCGGTTTTCTGCCCGCCGTGCGCCCCGAGGCGCGCGGCGGTTCTCTGCCCGCTGTGCGCCCCGAGGCACGCGGCGGGCTGCTGCCCCGTCCCTCGGCGCGTCGCCCTCGGGAGGCGTTGCGACGGGCGACGGGGACCCGCGCGTCGCCCCCCGTCGCCCGTCGTGGCCTGCGCGCGGCCCGTACAAGCAGCGCGCGGCCCGTACGGGCTGCGCCGGGACCGGCCTCGCCCCGGCCATGCTGCGTCGCCCGTCGCGGCGCACCGAGGGCACGTGCACCGCCCCCCCCCCCCCCCCCCCCCCCCCCCCCCCCCCCCCCCCCTTTTTCCCATCGCCCGTCGCGACTCCCTCGGGGACCTGGGGGAGGGGGGCGAGCGCCGCCCCTTCTACCGCCTGTTTTGGCGCCCTGGGAGGCCGCGCGTCGGTCCCCCCCCCCCCTCCCCCGTAACCTCCCTACCCACCATCCCGCCCTGCCAGTATTAGGGTTTGAGGGGTGGCAAGTAGGGGGTGGCGAGTATGGGGGTGGAAGTTGTGCATTCCTCCCTTTGCTCCTCCTCCTCCTTCGTCTCCCACTGCTGCAGGTGTCGCTGAGGGGGGTGGATGAGTGGGAGACTGGGGTTTAGGGTTTAAGGGGGGTGCGTGTGAGTGGAGCTAGGGTTTGAGCAGTGGGCGTGTGCCGAGAGTGTGGGGCAGTTGGGGGAGGTTGAGTGGAGGCAGCGGTCTTGTCGTCAGCAGCAGCAGCAGTCCGGAGGCTACAATCTCCGGTAGTCGCCAGCCGCTCGTGGGTCCGTTGCTCATCTGCCGCTACTATTAGCCGCGGGGCCAGTTACTCCAGTAGTCCGGAGCGCTGTTCCGGTAGCCACTGAGCCAGCAGCTCGTCTGTTTGTCTGCGGCGTCAGCAGTCGCCTCCCATCTTCTCTTCCCCGCAGCTCCTCCTCCTCCTCACTGGTCCGCTGTGATTAGCTCTAGCTTTGCTCATAATTGTGAACTTATAAACTGTTGCTTCTTGTACTTGTGCTCAGAATGTGTGGTGACATTGTGATCCACCCTGAGCTTGTTCTATGCCTGCTTGCTCTGCTGATTACACCCCACTTTGGCTATGGGGGTGTGTCAGAATGTCATTGTTCTCTAGCCTGCAGTGGGGTACTCTATAGCGAGTACAACCCCTTAGGGTTTCCTATATGTATCCTGCTGCTTTCTAGTGAAGCCCTCTTCTTTCTTCTAAACTTTCTCATCATGAAGCACCAGCTCTTTGAGGCTTTTCAAGCAGCAAAAGCCGTCTAGCAGGGCGCATTCGAAGCGTTTAGCTTCCATGATCTTGAGGGTTTCGAGGGAGGTCAGGGCGGAGAAGGATGGAGGGAGACGGGTGAGAGATGAGCAGAATTCCATATGCAGATAGCGCAAACGCTGCATACCGTTCCCCATTTCATCTGGCAGAACACTGAAACTAGGACAACTGTTAATCTCCAGGTGCTCGAGAGAAGATAGCTGGGATAGGGAGTCCGGAAGTTCCTGCAGCAGCCAGCACTCCAGAATTTTCAGCTCCTGGAGAGCCGTCATCTGCCCGAAAGATTTAGGCAGGCGTGTGAGCTCGCGAAGGCTGTTCAGGCGCAGCTTTTCAAGAGCATTCAGCTGCCCCAAGTCCGCGGGCAGAGAACGCAGGTTGTAGAGATTATCTAAGGCGAGCTCTTGGAGCGTGGTAAGCAGAGCAATGGAATCAGGAAGCATTGCGAGCTCCTTCAGGTCTAGCACGAGTGTGTGGAGCTTTGACAAATGCCCAATCTCGTCAGGTAGAACTGATAGCCGCGGCATGTCAAGGGTTAGATTGGTGAGTGAAGGCAGGCGGAAAAGGGACTCGGGCAGAGACGTGATATCACTGCAGCATTTGACTACTAGTGTCTTAAAGTGCCACAGATGCTCAAGAGCCTCCATTAGGTCGAACATTCCCGTCACCTCTTCCAAAATTAGGGTTTCAAGCCTCCACAGTCGAGGAAAGTAGATGGGTGGCGGCAGAAGGAACTTGCAGTGTCGAATCTCCAGGACGGTAAGAGAAGAAAGCTTGGTGAGAAAAGCCGGCAGCTGCAGCGCCGAGCATTGCATCATGGATAAAAGGTTCAGACTGGCAAGTTGGCCGAAAGATTCCGGAAGCGAGGCCAGGGAGCCGCAACCGTGCAACTTGAGCGACGTTAAGGAAACCAAATTGCCGAAATCCCGAGGCAAAGCCGCCAGATCGTAAGTGTGCAGCTCGAGGTTTCTGAGAGACTGCAACCAGGTGAATGTGTCGGGAAGTTGTGTGACGCTGGCCCTGAGGTTTAAGCTCCTGAGCAGAGTGAGTCGGTCGATCGACGGCGGAATTGTAGCACGCCGCGAACAGTCTAAGTAGAGATCCTCCAGCAGAGTACACCCCTCAAACAGAAACTCTATGCCTTTCTCAGTTACTACTGCGTGTCTGTATTCGCGTCCCATCGATTCAACACGAAGCTCGGTCAGATGAGGACACACGTCAGCGAGGCGAGAGAATAACGAGTTGAAGGCTGGGGTGAGGCTGCCATAGGAAAGAACTAGCTTCTTGAGGTTAGGAAACGAGGAAAGCAGCTGAACGAGCCGATGCGGATCAATACGGAGGTTCTTGGGCAAGCGGAGCTCCTGCTGCAAGCGGTACGCAATGTGTTGCCATTGCTTGCTGACACGTGCATGCTCCAGGTGGCCATCAGGCCTAACAAGAAAATGCAGGATCCGAGAGAGAAGCTCCTCTGGTATCCGTTGGATAGGCGACCCGAATGCCATCTTGAAACGCTTGAGTAACAAGACTATGTCTGCTCGTTGAAAAGGTATGCGTTTCTTGAAAGTTTAAAGCCCAAGACCTGAATTACTCAACGGAAGTCAACGCCAAAAAACTAGGTTCGGAAGAGGTTCGGTTTGGTTGCGAAACCCTTTCACTCGCGAAACAAGTTTGCAACAAAGTTGTGTCGCTTGGAAGAAGACCTCTTATGAATGGTGTGCTTCCCACAACCAGAGTTGAGCGTGCCTACCAAACTGTGCACACTTTGACAATCCTAGCAGCAGACTAAAACTAGGCATAATATAGAATACGTGTAGGCAAGGCGTAGCCGTTGACTCTAGAGCGATCAAGGCGCGATGCGATGGTGTGTGGTGCGGAATGTGAGTTCGAAGCGTAAGGATATTGAGTGGCGTGCGATGAGATATGGTGTAAAAATGCAGGTTTCGCATAACCCTCACGTTCGGCCAAGCGTAACCATCCCTCGCCCTCGCTTTCCTTCACCCGGGTCCCACGCTTCCTTTGTCCATCGCCCGCGTCGTCGCCTTCGCTTCCGCAGCCCATCGCATTCGCGGCCCCATCCCGTCGCCTTCGCTTCCCCCGCCCGTCGTCGCCTTCGCTTTCGGATGACCGTTGCCTTCTCTTATCCCGCCCGTCGCCTTCGCTTCTCCCCCCTGTTGCCTTCGATTTCCCCGCACGTCGCCTTCGCTTCCCCCGCGCGGAGCCTTCGCTTCCCCCGCGCGGAGCCTTTGCTTCCCCGCGCGGAGCCTTCGCTTCCCCTGCACGGAGCTTGGGGAGGGAGGAGTGGGCAGTGATGTTGGGCAGCTTCCCCGAGGACGAGGCGTGTCTGGGGGGGGACAGGCGGGGGAGGGAGGGGGAGAGGGAGGGCACGCGAGGGGGGGGCGGGGAGTGTTGGAGCGGAGTGAGAGCTACGACTCTCTGCTGTCAGACATCAGCCGCGTCAGCTCCCTCGCTGAGAGGCGGAGGAGGAGGCAGAGGGGGAGGGGGAGGGGGAGTGGGAGGCGCGCTAGCCATGCCCTTGCTCGTGGGCATGGGCACGGGTGGCGGTGGTGCGATGGAGGGTGCCTCGGGAGTGTACTGGGCGACGGACGGGAGCAGCAGCATGGGCGGCGGTGGTGCGTCGTCGGGTGCGTTCCTTGCAGTGCAAGGCATGGGGGGCAGCAGCAGCCCCATGGGCGGTCAGCAGCAGGGGGGGATTTCCAGCAGCACGGGAGGGTAACCCTCCGCCCGGCTCTATCCCCCCCTCCTCTGACTCGGCGGTCACGCTGGCGCCTGCAAGGGCCAGGCTGGTGTTCTCTCAATCCACCTTCTCCCCGCCCTCTCCTGCCTTCACCATTGGCGCCTCGCCCCCGCCTCCTGCACTCACTCTCACTGCTGCGCCTGCTGCTCCTGCTGCCGCCGCTGCTCCCGTTTCTCCAGCTGCAGGCACAGGTGTCGGAGGCAGTGCTGCTGCTGGTGCGTCCACCCTGCGCAGCCTGGTGGGTCTGCGAACACTACACCACTCGTTCTATCAAACCGTTCCCGCCAAAACATTCCACGATATTCGAAAATCGGATGGCGACTACCGGCGCGCTTTGCGAATTCCCTTCCTGGTTCTGCGAGATTCGTGCGCCCTCCATTCGCGTCGTTGTGCACGTACTGAGACAGCGACCACACTGTACTCGATAGTGGGACCGAACAACATTGGCCCTATGGACAACATACAAGCGCATCATGGCGACACTAGGCATATACGTACTTCAAAACTGGTTAACACTGGGCAGCGCAAGGAAGTTGGTACACCAATGCAGTGCTGCAGCTGCAGTGCAATGCTGCCACAATGCCATTGCTGGCTTTTGACTGAGTATAACCGTAAGCCTCCGGATAGAAGCGCAGGCCTCAGATAAGCGCCGGCGCTTATAAAAGGATGAGGGCGCTTATATCCGGTCCTCGATTATAAGCGCACCCCTGAAGGCTTACGGATTATAAGCGCCACCCTCTGTAATAGTTTTCATATTTGTACTGGAAACGCTGTAACGAAACACAATATTGCATCCCCACATTCAGAATTTCGAAACCCTTCCCCTTAGCGTCCAGTCAGAATGAGTTGTCATGGGGTCAATCTGACTCATTCTGACTGTGTGTGTTGGCAGGGAATCTCAGCCACTGCCGATTTACGCGAAATTCACATTCGATGTCCTCTACAATATCGATTCGATTCAAATCGTAAGGACGAGATGAACACTTTAGTGTAAAAGAACTAGATTTCATACATGTATACATAAGTCCTGATAACTAAAAAAGGCTCTGAAACAACTAAACCGAAAGGGTGTGTTTCAGAACGAGGCTCCAAATCCCTGGCTCTAGCTACAACATAATATCTACCATATGCCTATGAATCCTTGGGGATGCATTAGGAAAAATGAGTTGGGATACATGGGTCAGCCTGAAATCGCCACAGAAACACACATTTTGTAACCCAACACAATGAGCAATCCCATCCCATCCCAATCCCTATCCCACCTAAGAACACAACCTCCCATCCAACCATTGCAACCGCCTTCCCCTTGTTCTTTCTGTCCTTCACATCTCCCCACCCCTTCCGCCTCACCTATCCCACCATGCTAGTCGTCCTCCTCGTCACTCGGCCCCCAGCGCCCCACATCGTCGTTGTCAATGTCACTGTCCACGCCATACTCATGACAAATACTCCAATCCTCACCACTACTCTCTGCCTCCTCTGCTTCCTCCCTGTCCGCCACTTGCCCTTCAACCATCGCATCTCCTCCCTCCTCACCCTCCGCCTCCTCCCCTCCTTCCTCCTCTCCCTCGTCCTCCTCCTCATCCTCGCCAATTCCTGCAGGAATGCCCATCGTGTCTTGCTGTGACAGCAAAGGGCACTCAGTCACATCGAAGTCTCGCAACGTCGGCATTCTCCTTAGAGAACTTGGCAGCTTGGCCAGCTTCTTGCACGCAATCAGCAGTAGCATCTTTAGCTTTGGCAACTTGGTGAATGACTATGGCAAGCTGCGGACGTGCTTCAGCCCCAGGATCACCAACTCATGGAGGGAAGAGAACTTCCAGAAATTTTCAGGAAATGCTGAGATCGCAAGCTTGGTGAGGGTACAGGATTGTAACTTGGGAGGGCTTTCAGGGCTGCGAATCTTGCAGCTTCGCTTCTTACATATACGGCAGCTGATCGATTTTGCCACAAAAATTGAGGCCCTCCCAAGATTTTCAGGAAATGTTGAGATCGCAGTGCCTCAATTTTCGTGGCAAAATCGATCCGGAGCCTTTTTAGGCGCGAGAGCTGAGAGATGGAGTCAGGAAGAGAAACAAGGTTGTCCATTTCCGTGATTTTCAGCTTCGTGAGAGAGGAGAGCTGCCCAAGAGACGCACCAATGGAATGGAAAGGGAGAGACTTCATCTTGAGACTTCGAAGGGATGGAAGCAGTGCCCTGCTGCTGCTACTGGTGCCGGCGCTGCTGGTGCCGATGCTGCTGGTGGTGGTGTTCGCCAAAGAACCCCTTGCAGTGCGTTTCAGCACCACCTCATCCCCTAGCAACGCGCCAATCCCATCACATACCCGCACCTCCAACTCCCGCAGCTGGGGTAGCCTGGCAAGCTCCGCAGGGAGATGTTTCAAGCCGTCCATTCGTGCGATTTTGACCACCTCAAGCGACTCCAGCCGTCCGATCCCCTGTGGTAGGACCGTTACTTTAGGGCAATTGATCAATTCCAGGCTGGTGAGCGAGAAAACGCCAGAGAAGGAGGCAGGAAGGGCGGATAGGCGAGGCATGTCTTCAATCACCAGCTCCTTGAGGCTTTTCAAGCAGCAGAAGCCGTCTAGTAGGTTGCCTTTGATACTATTGGCTTCCGTGATTTTCAGGGTTTCAAGAGACGTCAGCGCGGAGAGGGATGGAGGGAGGTGGGTGAGAGATGAGCAGCCTTCCAGATGCAGAAAGTGCAGCCGCTGCATACCGTTCCCCATTTGATCTAGCAGCACCGTGAAACGCGGACAACACTTGATCTCCAGATGCTCGAGAGAAGATAGCTGGGATAGGGAGTCTGGGAGTTGCTGCAGCTGCATACACCCTAGAATTTTCAGCTCCCGAAGAGCTGTCAACTGCCCGAAGGATCCTGGCAACTCTGTGATCTGCCCAAGGCTGTAGAGGCGCAGCTTTTCAAGAACGATCAGCTGCCCGAAGTCCACGGGAAGAGACGGCAGCTTCTAAAGACTATCCAATGAAAGCTCCTGGAGCGTGGTTACCAGGCAGATGGAATCAGGAAGAGTTGTGAGCTCCCCCAACTCCAGCACGAGCGTCTGTAGCTTTGACAGCCTCCCAATATCGTTAGGTAGAACTGCCAGCCGTGGCATGTGGAGAGTGAGGCTGGTGAGTGAAGGCAAGCTGAAAAGAGACTCTGGCAAAGACGTGATATCGCTGCAGCACTTGATCACTAGAGTCTTGAGCCGCCAGAGATGCTCAAGAGCCTCGATTAGCTCGCGCATTCCCGTCACTACTTCCAGATTGAGGGTTTCAAGCCTCCACAGTTGAGGAAAGTCGATGGGTGGCAGGACAAGGAACTTGCAATGTCGAATCTCCAGCACGGCGAGAGAAGAAAGATTGGCGAGAGAGGCTGGCAGCTGCAACGTCTTGCAATCATTCAAAGATAGAAGCTTCAGACTGGCAAGCTGACCGATAGATTCTGGAAGCGATGCCAGAGAGGAGCCGTGCACCTTGAGCGATGTTAGAAACACCAAATTGCCGAAATCTGGAGGCAAAGCCTCCAGTCTGTAGGTGTTCAGCTCGAGGCTTCTGAGGGACTGCAACGAGGTGAACGAGTCGGGAAGTCGCGTGACGCTGGCCATGAGGTGTAAGTTCCTGAGCAATGTGAGTCGGTCGATCGACGGCGGAATGGCAGCACGCACCGAACACTCCAAATGGAGATCTTCCAGCCGAGTACACCTCTTGAATAGAAACTCCTGGCTCTTCTCGCTTAATCCTACGTATCCCTAGTCACGTCCCATCAATTCAACACGAAGTTCGGTCAGATGAGGACACACATCACCTAGGCGAGAGAATAATGAGTTAAAGGCAATGTTGAGGCTGCCATGTGAGAATGAGAACGAGAATGCATCAACTATGAATGAAGTGGGTACATATAGGAAACCCTAAATGGGTTGTACCCCCTATGGGATACCCCACTATAGCCTACACAACAGCATAAGCTATAACGTTCTGACACACCCCCATAGGGAAAGTGGGGGAGAACAAGGGGTCACAAGACCAGTCAAGGAAAGCAGAGCAAAGCAAGCTCAGGGTGGATCACAAAGTCACCACACAGTCTGAGCACAAGGTCAAGGCCACAAGGCCAGTTCACAAGCAAGAGTACACACATATATATAAAGCTAGACAAGCAAGAGCAGGTATACATATATGTGAGAGTACAAGCAAGGTCAAGAGGAGAGCAAGTGAGGCAAGACGGGCACAAGACCCAGCTAAGTGCAGAAGCGCAGATGATCACAAGGCGCAAGTGCCTTGGTGAAGACATCAGCAGTGTTGGCCTCAGAGGCCACGTACGCAAGCCGCAACTGTCCACGCTGCTGTAGCTCACGAGCAAGGTAGTAGCGGAGAGCAATGTGCTTCGTTCTGTGCTCCAGTCGCTGCTCTCGACACAAGGCCAGCATGGCCTTGTTGTCTACGTACATGACTGGAGGAGAACGAGGCGGCCCTCCAAGGTCGGTCAGCAGGTAGGTGAGCCAGCGAAGCTCCTGTGCAACCATGGCCCCGGCGTAGATCTCAGCCTCACAACTGGAGCCGAGAACAGAAGACGAGCAAGTAGCCCGCCACGGAACAGAGCCGGAACCAAGGCTGAAGGTGTAACCCTGTGACGACCGCTGCGTAGCCTGGTCGTCAGCCCAAGAAGCGTCCACGTGCCTAGTAAGGACCACTGGACTGCGCCCTCCAAGCACTAGCCCCATGCCCGACGTACTGCACAAGTAGCGCAACACCCTCTTCGCTGCAGCCATGTGCTCTGGTCGGTGTCTCCCAGGAGCAACATAGCGTGCGAGAATGCTAAGAGGGTATGCAAGGTCAGGACGTGTGCAGGTCATCAGGTACATGAGGCAGCCAACTAGCTCTGGGTACGGGCCACTCGACTCTACGGACTCATCCGAAGGCAGAGCTGAGAGCAAGTGGCGAGTAGGCAGAGGAGTGGCTTGAGGCAAGGAGTACGTGAAGCCGAAGCGCTGAAGGACCTGCTGCACCATGTGTGACTGAGTTAGGGTAATGGTGCGGCGTGCTCTGTCCCGGGTGATCTGCAAGCCAAGGTAGCTGCGCAGTTCACCCAGGTCTGTGCACGTGTGTCTCTTCTGCAGCTTGGACTTCACGTAGGCGAATCCAGGAGTGTCAGCTGTGGCGAAGACCAAGTCGTCGACGTACACGAGGATGTAGAACGGCGGCAAAGAGGTGTCGGTGCGCAGAAACAGCGACGGGCCAGCAATAGAAGGAGCAAAACCAAGAGCCGCAAGCGTAGTCCTCAGTGTGTTGTGCCACTCACGTGGCGCCTGGCGGAGACCGTAGACTGGACGCCGGAGACTCCACTGGGTACCAGGAGGGAAAGACCTAGTGAAGCCAGGTGGGCGACGCAGCCAGATCTCCTCGTGCAGGCTGCCCTGCAAGAAAGCTGTGCTGAAGTCGAGAGAGTGCAGCTCGTAGTCACGGTGAGCAGCAACGTGCAGCAGTACCCAAAGAGTGGTCATCTTCGGGGTGGTGGAGAAGGTCTGAAAGTAGTCAACTCCCTGCCGCTGACTAAAGCCACGAGCCACGTAACGCGCCTTGAAGACAGGAGGAGAACCCGGCGGCCGCTTCACCCTGAAGATCCACATGCCATTGACGATGTTCGCCCCAGGAGGGGGGACAGCGTCAACGTAGGTGCTTGTGGACTTCCAGGAAGCCATCTCTGCATCCATAGCTGCCTGCCACTGAGAGGAATAGGGACCCTCTATCGCCTCCGCGTAAGAGCGCGGAGTCGGGATGTCAAGTGCATCCGGGTCTCCCTCAGGGGTAAGCAGTACGGACACGAGATGAGGTGAAGCAGCTGCCAGACACTGGAACTCCTCCTGCCTGTCCTCAAGGACGTCCGTGCCAAGGGCACACTCACCCCCGACGGACGGAGGACAGAAAGACTCAGACTCAGCGACAAGACTCGCAGCGTAGTCTAAGCGACAGCGAGCAGGAAAGTCGACGAGCTCAGCAACTAGAGCAGACGCAGCAGTAGACTCAAAGGAAGGGTCTGTGACAACAGTAGCAAGGAGACGCGTGATAGTAGGACTGGCAGCACGAAGAAAGTCCGACTCTGGGTCGGGAAGAGCAGGAAGAGAGGACTCAGGAGGAGAAGGCAAAGGGGCACGCAGAGGAGAAGTGGACGGACGCAGAGACGTCCGTTGCGTACCAGGGACAGGAGGAGGACGCTCACGCGAACTACGACCACTAGCGCGAGCAGGACGGATAGGCGACGTAGGGCGAGACGCAGGCTCACGACGCTCAGCAAGACCTCCAGTAGGACCAGTGTAGGGAGAAGGAGCAGGCAAAGGGGAGGTAGGCTGCAGCTGAAACTGTGGCTGGACAGGCTGCGGACACTCTAAGGGAGGAGGAGGACCAGCAGAAGGTGGAAGACCAAGAACCTGCTGCAGGAGTGGAACGAAGTACGGTCAAGGCCGTGTGGCGACGCCAGAAGTAGCAGGGACAGCACCATTACCCTAAGTAGGAGCACCCGCTCCAGCAGCACCTCCAGCAGCTCCAGAACCTCCAGCAGCACCAGGAGCACCTCTAGCAGGACCGCCAGCGGCAGTCTCAGCGCCAACACCCGCAGCAGCACCAGCTCTAGTCGAACCCGCAGGCCCAGCAGCTCCAGTACTACCAGTACGAGCACCTCCGGGACCCGCGACCGCAGCACCCTCAGCAGCCGAAGAACCTCCAGCACCAGCAGCACGAAGCCAGCGCCGGGCAAACCACTCGCGCAGCTCCTCTGGAGAGAGTGGCTCCCGGCGAGACGAAGCACCCGGAGAACCTCCAGGTGGAGCACCTCGACACGCAGTACCCCCAAGCGTAGCACCCCCAGGCTCAGCACCCCCCGGCTCAGTAAGCCCTGGCTCAGCACCCCCAGGCTCAGCATCCCCAGACGTAGTACCCCCAGGCTCAGCACCCCCAGGCTCAACACCCCCAGACGCAGCACCCCCAGGCCCCGCACCCCCACGTCCAGCAGCCCCAGGCTCAACACCCCCAGCGGCAGCACCCTCAGCAGCACCAGAGTCACCAGTGACCTCGACAGGCTCGACTGCGTCTGCCTGGGACACACCTGAAGGGGCAGGACCCTGAGGGGGCAGGGGGTCTACCTGAGGGGGACCTGGTACCAGGAAGAGTGGGGGTGGGGGGAGGGACGGAGTGCGGAAGGGGAAGAGGCGGTAGTAGGGGACCGACTCGTCAAACGTGACGTCCTGGGAGGACAGAACACGGCGAGAGGTGGGGTGGTAGAATTGCCACCCAAGCGCGTCAGGGGGGAACCCCAGGAAGACGCAAGGAGCAACACGAGGGGACAGCTTGTCCGCAGACAAGTCGCGGACAAACGCCCGAGATCCCCAGACCCGGAACACAGACGCATCGCCAACCTTCCCCGTCCACAGCAAGGCTGGGGAGGTCTCCGGCCTGGAGACCCTGGGGTGAAGGTTGATCTGATGCGCCGCGTACCTCACCGCAAACGGCCACAGAAAATGGGGGGCAGCCGCATGCATCATGGACTTACGAGCGACGTCCATGACCATGCCAATGCGGCGCTCAGCAATCCCATTTTGCTGCGGTGAGTCCGGAAGCGTGAAGGTCTGACGGATGCCTCTTGCACGACAGAAGGCTCGCAGAAGGCCAGAGGAAAACTCTCTGCCTCTGTCCGAGTGCAGACGCAAAACAGCAAAGTCCGAGCCAAAGCGCTGCCTAAGCTGAAGACGAGCTGCGCGGATCCAGTCGATCAACACCTCAGTGACATCACCCTTGCTGCGCAAGGGGAAGATTGTGGTGTAACGCGAGTAGTCGTCAACAACGAGCAGAAAGTAGCGCTTGTTACCCTGTCCACGGACGCGGGCTGGGCCCCACACGTCCATGTGAAGCGTCTGCAACGGGGCCTCTGTCGGAGGAAACTGGGAGGAGTGGGGGGCAGCCCGCTGGCGCCCCTCGACACAGGGGACACAGGCAGGGCCAGGGCCCTGAGGAAGGGGAGGGAGGGACCGGGGGGGACTTGACACAAGAAGACGGAAGGCCATGCCTCTGAGCCGAAGCAGAGAGGGGTTGCCAAGGCGGTGGTGCCAGAGGAGAGTCTCGTGAGACAGGAGACGACTCGAACAGGGGGCAGACTCAGGACCAGACCTGGACGCCGCAGCAAACACCTGACCCGACGCAGCTACCCTACCAGACTCAACAACTGGAGAGGACGTAGTGGTCAGTGTGTACAGGCTCGACCCCGGCTGACGGGTAAACGTAGCTAGGTGCCGGCGTGTGCTAGCCTCAGTACAGTGCGTCACCCGCTGACGCGCAGGAGTGAACTAGTGTACTCCCCCATCCTGTAGGTCAGCACCACTCACCAGGTTCGTCGAGAACGAGGGGAGGTAGAGACCAGACAGGGTGCAAGAGGGAGCCGCCGGACAAGGGAGGACTGTGGAGAAGCGAGACAGGAAAGGACCCCCAGAGGGGTCAGCCAGAGACACCGCAACCGGCCGACTAAGCGGCGTGAGTGTGGTGCAGTCTCGAAAGAAGGAGCGAGACGCCCCAGAGTCAAGGGTGAAGGTGAGGGAGGCCGAAGCCGACGTAGTACCTGAGAGCGCAGACTCACCAGTACCTGAGGACGCAGACACACCAGCACCTAGAGCAGTAGCGTCGCATGCACCTAGGGCAGCAGCCGTACCAGTACCTAAAGTAGCAGTCTCAATGCCCGGATCGGGCGGGAAACACCGGTAACAGTCACCCTCATCACTAATAGACACAGCATGCATGGCAGCAAGAATAGCATCAGAGTCAAGATCAAAGATGGCCACACCCGCCCTAGACAGCTCGCCCCAGCGAGGGATCTCTGAGGCCTCCGGGAACTGGTGACGCCACGCGTCCGTCAGGCGGCCAAAGCAGCGCTGGGTGGGGTGCGCACCCCCACACTGCTCACCCGCACGGTCGCTGGTGCGCAGGACGTAGGTGCACGGACCAAAACCCCCACCCCGCTGGCGTGCAGTGTACCAGTCACGGAGCTACTGAGGTGACGGGGTCTCACGACCGCGCTGCTGCTGCTGGCGCGAGCCACCACCAGAGCCACTCCTCTGCGACGACCTGCGACCAGCTCCACCGCCACCCCCACCGCCTCCGCCTCTTCCGCTGCCTCCACCACTGCCGCCGCCTCCGCCGCCGCCGCCGCCTCCACCGCCGCCTCCTCCGCGACCTCCGCTCCCACCGCCACCGCCGCCGCCGCCTCCGCCTCCACTACCGCCACCGACCCCTCCACCCCCACCTCCACTCCCACCGCCACCCCCACTCCCCCCACCGCCTCCTCCTCCACCTCCACCGCCCGCTCCTCCAGCTCCCTTGCCCCCCTTGCCCTTGCCAGGGCGGCGTCTCCCGCTAGGGGCAGACGCCGCGCCGACCGACTCAAGACCAAGGAGGTCGGCCGCAGCAGCAGAGGCAACAGATGGCAGCACGGGGGAGGGAGAACACCCCTCAAAGATGGGGGTGCGCGGGTCACCTCGAGAGGCTCCTACAGCGACGATGCTCTTCTCTATCGCTAGGAGGGCCTTTTCGAGGAGGTCTACGGTGAGCGTGGTGGGACAGACTGAGAGAAAGTGGTCCCTGACTACGCGAAGGGAGTCAGGGAGGTGAGTGACTAGGAAGTACAGAGTTATGTACATGGGGGGGGGGGTTCGCGGCGTAGAAGTCAGCAGGGAGTGCAGCGCGGTAGCGAGTGTCACTAGTGCGGAGGTGCGTGATGAGGTCAGCTACGGTAGGAAAAGCAGCAAGGTCAGGGAAGAGGTACGGCAGCATGAGACGGCTCAGTGCAGCAGTGGCAGGGGAGGAGTAGCGCGCGACTACAGCGTCGTACAAGGTCTGAGCACTCTTGTACTGGCTAAAGTGCGCACGCTTGGAGGTAGGGAGGTGGCGACGCACAGCAAGACGTGCAGCAGCGTCGCGCGTGGCCCACTGGGAGCGAACAGTGGCGTCAGCATTAGCAGCAGGGGCAGGGGAAGCGCCAAAGGTAAGGTCAAAGAGAGAGAGGCCGTCTGCCCTATCGCACTGTAGGAACAGCTGCATGTCGTCGACCCAGACCTCAAAGTCTACGGCTCGTCCCTCAGCGTCAAACGTGAGGACACTAGGGGTAGCCATGACTACAGATGACGAGCAGTGTAAACAGTAGGGGAGGGAGGGCCGTGCAGGGGGAGAAGGCACTGTGCTCACCAGACAGGGCAGCTCTGACGGTCCAGCTGCTGGGTGGCTCGGTGGCAGAGCGGCTCGGCGGCAGGGCGGCTCGGCGGCAGGGCGGCTCGGCGGCAGGGCGGCTCGGCTGCAGGGCGGCTCGGCGGCAGGGCGGCTCGGCGGCTGGGCGGCTCGGCTTCCGGGCGGCTCGGCGGCAGGGCGGCTCGGCGGCAGGGCGGCTCGGCGGCAGGGCGGCTCGGCTTCCTGGCGGCTCGGCGGCAGGGCGGCTCTCGTGCAGGGCGGCGCAGCGGCGCTCTCGTGTAGGTATGGCGGCGGGTGAGCCGCAGTTAGGGCGGCGGGTGCGCCGCAGGTAGGTCGGCGGGTGGCCGCAGGTAGGGCGGCGGGTGCGCCACAGGTAGGTTGGCAGGTGGCCGCAGGTAGGGCGGCGGGTGCGCCACAGGTAGGTCGGCGGGTGGCCGCAAGTAGGGCGGCGGGTAGGGCCGCAGGTAGGTCGGCGGAGGGCTGTAGGTAAGGGCGGCGACGGGCCGTAGGTAAGGGCGGCGACGGGCCGTAGGTAGGGCGGCGACGGGCCGTAGGTAAGGGCGGCGACGAGCCGGTGCAAGGGCGGCGCGAAGCCGCGGGTAAGGGCAGCGACGGGCCGGGGCGGCGCGAAGCTGTAGGTAAGGGCGGCGACGGGCCGGGGCGGCTCGAAGCCGCAGGTAGAGGCGGCGCGAAGCCGCGGGAAGGGCGGCGACGGGCCTGGGCGACGCGAGGCTGCAGGTAGGGGCGGCGCGAAGCCGCCGGTGAGGGCGGCGCAAAGCCGCGGGTAAGGGCGGCGACGGGCCGGGAAAAAGGCGGCGCGCCGCAGCCGCTAGGGCGGCTCGACGCGACCGTAAGGGCGGCGCGACGGGCCGCTAGGTGCGACTCGACGGGCCGCTAAAAAAAAGGCAGGCGCGACTCGAGGCGCGCTTCGGTGGGCCCAAGGAACAGTCCCTAGGAGGGGACCTGCTCTGATACCATGTGAGAATGAGAACGAGAATGCATCAACTATGAATGAAGTGGGTACATATAGGAAACCCTAAATGGGTTGTACCCCCTATAGGATACCCCACTATAGCCTACACAACAGCATAAGCTATAACATTCTGACATGCCATGGGAAAGGACTAGCTTTTTTAGATCAGGGAACGAGAACAGCAGTTGAAGGAGATGATGCGGATCCATACGGAGGTTGTAAAGCAAGTGGAGCTCATTTTGCAAGCGGTACGCAATGTGATGCCATTGCTTGCTGACACGTGCGTGCTCCAGCTGACCATCAAGTCGAACCAGAAGACGCAGGACCTTAGAAAGAAGCTCCTCCGGTAGCCGTTGGATAGGCGATCCGACTGGCATCTTGAAACGTTTAAATAACAAGAGACTAATGGTTGTTCCTTGAAGAAGTCTGCCTTTCCTACAAGTTTACACAACGAACAAGCTTGGATAGTGAGACTATAAACGAAGCTACACTAGAGAGACCACAAGAAGTGTCGTGAGGAGGGTTGGTCGAGGCATTACATTTGCTATCTCTGAGCAAGAAGGCCCTCGGGCTTGCCAGTGGCACCGTACTGCATCGCTTGATTATCCAAACCTTTCCCGCCAAATATTCCACTAACGAATGTTCCCCGAAATCGGACGGCTCGTTTTTTTCTATTCCCGGCTGTGACTGTCGTGCGCCCTCCGTTCGCGTTTGAAATGTGGACGTGGAGCGACAATGAGCGGATTGTACCCGTTTGTCGGTACGGATACAGAAGTTAAATAATCCCGTGTTGTAAAAGTGCAGTATTATATGCAGGGTCTCAGATTCACTTTTAGGGTCGTCACCCCATCAGGGTCCCCCTGCGTGTTAACTCTGATTTTCAGTGTCCCAAAAAACAAAAAGGCTGAAATGTCAGTGTTGCGAATTTTTAAAGCCTGATGCATCAGTGTACCTTTTGCAAAAACACTGACTCTATTTTAAAGTCCTACTTCTAGATGGCAGAAACGGTGGATGGGCTGGGCGGCGTGGAGGATGGCACGGTGCTTGCCAGCACAGCCCAAACCTAACGCATCGCACATGATGGGTACGGGGCAGGAACCTTGGCAGCCCACCAGCACCACATGTATGCCACATTCGGATTCGCCAACATTGGATGCTGCAGCGAAACGGCCCAATGGTGTGAGGCAAAAAAACACCTCTCAACGTGAACCTAAGGCAACATTTCTAAGGGTGGTCCCGCCACGGGGTGCCTACATACAGGGAATCTGAGATTCCCTGCAATTGCGGTCGAGGTGACATGTCACAGGTGAGATTCGCTTTCAGTGTCGGTTTCGTTACAACGTAGTGGCATCAGTGTACAACGGGAAAAAAACCTGAAATATCAGTGTGGCCAATAAAAAAACGCTGAAAGATCAGTCCTACTAAAATCCCAACTCTGACTTTTCAGGGTAGCTTGAAAATCGGCTGCCAAAATCAGGAATTTCAGGGTTTTTTTCCTGATATCTGAGGCCCTGATTATATGCGTGGTGAAAACAGCACACCGCATTTTGGTCGTGTGTCACCTAGGTGGTACCTTCTCCCATATTCAGCTCAGGACTTGGCAGAAGGAATTTAGACCAGAAATCACAGCAACGGTGTGCCTGCTACGGTAGTTTTGCTGAAAAACAGTAGCAAACCACAACAATTGAAACACTGCTCTGATGCCACAATGCAATTGTGGGCTTGAAACGACTATACACAAACACACCACAGCATAACATTTATACACCCCACCCCAGAAGTCCTGATCTTACTGAAGCCACTAATCCTAATGGTTTGTTTCTGCATGAGGCTCCAAATCCTTTGCTCTAGCCACAACATATATTCTACCATATGCCCATGAATGCTTTGGATTACTTGGAGATGCCTGCGTGTAAAAGGGGAATGGAATGCATGTGTCAGGAAGCGACCCAGAGTTGCACATCACTCAATTCGTCAACCAGCGCAATGAATCAAAGCAGAGACGGGCAAAAGAGATTCACCTCGACGAACGCATGAAAGACCAGCGGCTGGCCGCAGACATGACATTCAGCCTTGTGTCGATGCCTGTTCCCCTCTTCCAGGGTAACAAACGAGTAAACCTCCTCTCCACAGAGTGGGCAGTTGCCTTGTAGTGCCACCATCTTGCCCTGGCTTATGCGCTGCAACGGGCGGGCTGTGGGATGGGTAAGCAGGGCAAGCATCAATGAGGTCCATGATTACGATGAAGCAGAGTGCATCTCATGGCGAAACGGGAAGCCCGGGTGGAAAAGGCGCCTCCCAGAAGGCATGAACCGTGCCAGTGGCGCGAGAAGGGTAAAGCCAGATGCATATAAGCCTGGGATAATCGGAAAAACATATCAGGGAGAGTAAAAAAGCGCACATACCCACACAGCAAACCAAAGCAGAGCCATGGCCTACCTGCAGCAGACGCAAGAACCGCCCCGAGCAGGAAGCAGATGCCAGCTGCCATGGCTCCGTCCAGCTGCCACAGCGGGCTCGAGAGGATAGGGTTTTCCACCCTATCCACACCACTCGCGCCCATCACAACAACCAGAAACACCAGTGGCATTGCTGTCAGCGCTGCTCCCACTGCTAGAATCATTGTCCACATGGTTGACAGCGCTGCCATTTGGGAAGGGTCCGCCTGATTTGATGGCATGGAAAGGGGAAATGCCAGAACGGGAAGGTCACGAAATGCAGTGTCTTATTGCGGTAATCCTTGTGGAATCAAGAAAGGCCAACGAAATCCGGCCAGCAGCCAAGGGAGAGCATACTAAAGAAGCTGGAGATAATACGAGAACAACCATCAACACAGCCCACAGCCAAACTTTGGCACCGGAGTGGTAGTAGAGAGTCCGCGCATGCTGCTAATGAATAATCTGGGGCCAATTGTGCCATACCTCGGCATCAGAGTAGCAGTAAAGGGCTCGTATGCTGCAGCGTGGGTACTTCTTGACCAGCGCAGAGTGGAACCACCGCAACCGGCGCTGCATGGAGAACAAACACGAATGAGCTGACGTTTCCTGGAATCCAAGACCACGACTCCAATAACAATCTTTACACGTACAACAATAATCAGGGGGAACCAAGGGGGGGCGACGGAGGGAGCAACGCCCCGGCTTTCAAGAGGACGGCGTGAGCGTACCTCAACCAGATCAAAAATGTCGTCTGATACCAATGGTTTCCCGCTGTAGTACGCATCCCGAGCCTGAGAAGATAGGCGATGGAAGCAACGGGATTCGGGAATGAGCTGACCTCAGGGAACGGGAGCACTACGAGCAACATGATTTCACTCACATGTGTTGCTTGCTTCTACCCATAAGGTTCTTGATGTAATTATTTCAATCGTAAGTGCAAATGTTACAAACATCAAGCGCTCAAGTGGTCATACCTGCGAATAAAACTGCTCAAGCTGCTCTCTCGTGGCGCTCTCTAACGGACCCAGGAACAAGCACGACGGCGCGTCGTTAGCTGAGGCTTCTCCTGATTGACTGGAATCGTTGTTACCCTCATGTGGAAACGCGTTCCAGGGCGCTAAGCTCGCATGTGTAACGTGAGATGTGAGATGAAACCGCTCAGTACCGCGTACTTGGATACTGTCGTTACGTAATCTTCGAACCCCTAAACTCCTGCGTGCTCTCCGCGTCAAATTACCAATGTCACGCGTTTTTCCACGACAGGAGAAAACGGGACTGCTGATTATCTTCGTCTCACAAGAACACACTACCGTTGATCTATGAGAGCCAAAATTGTATTTTCTCGTAATCGCAGCGCCATAATAACGTCCCGACCTTCCTACTAGACGTAGGGTGCTCATGGCCTCTGACGAGCTCCGAAGTTAACAGTATCGATTACCGCCTATTCTGGTTGACCTCTCCCTACAGCTCAGGCGTCCATCTGTAGACCTGCTTTCTGGTAGTGAGGCATGCTGTGA